TTATTCTCCTATTCTTCAACTTTTTCACTCCTTGTAGTTATTGAATTCCATTGCTCCCTGGGATTGGTTTGTGTGTTGGCTGAAAATTGTCCTCCTTACTGCTAAAATAACTGTCTAGCCAATTGGCCCACCTGGGTCTCTATATTTCTGATCGAAGCCTCCATATTTTTCTGATTACACAAGGAAGCTTGCATGAATTTCTCTAGAGTGTCCTCCAATTTGCATATTCTCTCATGTACTAAAGGATAATATTGTTGTTGTTGTTGAAATGGAGGTTGTCTATTAGACGGGTCAACACCTTATTTCCACTCAAAATTCTGATTCTGATTCCCTCTTCATCTTTGTGAAAAACTATTATGATAGTTATTGGAATTAGAGAAATTTGTTTGTCTTCCTTGACCACTACCACTATGAGCACCCATATAATGAGATTTTTCTTCTTGTAGGTTACCTTGATAAGAGCAGTGTCCATTTGGATGATCACCTCCACACAAGTCACAACTCATTTGTTGATTAGAAGTGGATTGAACAACATGTAATTGTTAAAGCAGTTTTGTCATTTGCTTGGTCAATGCTTCAATCTGTTGAGTCAAAAGTTTATTATGAGCTAGGATAGCATCTGTGGTGTTAAGATCAAACACTCATTTGCTCTCTGAACTGATTGTCTATCATGTTGGGCCTGTTGGTTTGTAAAGGTTAGTGCATCAATAATTCTTGTGACCTGTTCATCATCCACAAACATCATGGTTCCTCCTCCTGCAGTATCTAATATCATCTTTGTATCAGGTCTCAAGCCAATGCAGAAAATGTTCAACTGGGCAATGTCCTCAAATCCATGATTTGGGCATCTCCTCAATAGTGATTTAAATCTCTCCCATGCTTCACAAAAAGGTTCATTTGCTCCTTGTCTGAAAGTAGAAATGTCGGATTTTGCCTTGATGTAGCGGGATGGTGGAAAAAATTTGTTCAGGAACTTATCTTCTACAATACCCTAATTGGTCAAACTCTTATTAGGATGTGTTTTTAACCACTCATTTGTCTGCCTGCCTGCAAAAAAAAAAAAGGAAATAATCTCAAGTATGCAGATTCAATATCTCCTTCTCTAAAACTCATGGTACCAATCAGCTCATAAAAAGTAGACAAATGAATATAGGGATCTTCATGATGCATTCTAGTGAATTGATGAGTACTAATCAAGCTTAAGAATGTTGGCTTCATCTCCAAAGATTGGTTGACTGGTATTGCAATGCTGGAAAAATGTCTCAGACTTTGTTGCATAACATAATCTCTGAGTGTTCTTCTAGATGGGTCTACTCCTTCCCCCTCCATGTCTTCTATGATCGGATCTGGTAAGTTGAGTGCGGGCGAAGAGTTAAGTGATTCTCCTGTTGTTTGTTCTTGAGTTTCTCTTCTTCTTCTACCACGATTCCTCCGAGTAGTCTTTTCAATCTCAGGATTAAATTCTAGTTGATTTATAGGAACCTGTCCTCTTAAAAGCATAAATCAAAAGAGCAACTCAAGCAAGGATTAACACAGGACAACAAATAAGCAAAAGAAAAATAAAATAAAATAAAAAGAACAAACTAAAAAGAAAATATTCACATTACTTAATAAGTTAAACAAAGAATTCCCAAGGAACGTCGTTCCCTGACAATGGCGCCAAAAATACTTTTTTAATATTTGGCAAAAAAATTATCAATCGTAATATAATATTTCGATTAAATAAAAGTCGACCACACGAAGAACGGTTTCACTGAAAATTCCAAATCATATGTTTACTAAGTGGATTAAAGCAAATTGGGTTTTTTTATAAAGATTTGGGTTGAAAATAAATGATAAAGAAATGTAAAGTGCGTTTAAAAAATATCAAATAAAAGAACTTAGGATTGACTTACTTCCTTTTTCCTCTTTTGTATAATGACTAAGTCAATTAAGAACATCAATTAACCTATCAATGTTAATGTTACCTACTCAAATCATTCATGTTAATTCCTCACACATGAAATTCATAAGAAAACCTAGTAAATGTTGATTCCTCACACAATTAAGATATTTTCCAGCATTAGGTTTAGGGTGTTAAGCAATTGATACATTCATTCCATTCCTAGCAATTAACGTAACAAATATTCTTACCATGATCTAGGGTTCAAGATATATTTTCTAATCATATCCCAAACATCAAGAGTAAACATTCAAAGATACAAAGGATAAGGATAAAAACATCAAGAACATAGATTAATATCTTAAAATATCACCAAGATACAAAAGAGTTCAAAGGAAGTGCATTCAATCCTAAGAGAATGAAATTGGTCACTCATGGTGGCCATTACAAGCATCCAAATGGAGAAGAATTGAAGAATTGATGAAGAACAGAATAGTCGTCACACCTCTTCTCCAAAAACCTAAAATTCCCTTTCACAAAACACATCTTATCTATTTATAGAAAACTTTCACGTCATTTGCTCAAACGAGTATTAATGATTTTTGCTCAAACGAGAATTAATGATTTTCGCTCAAGCGAGAATTTGCTCACTTGAGTGACTGACTTCCAGAGAGGTTTAACGTATTATCGCTCAAGCGAACATCTATCTCGCTCAAACGAATCTTAGGCTGAAAATCTTCTTCCTTTTTTCCAATTTTTCTTCAATTAACTTGAGAATTATGATCCTTGCTCTTGTACCCAGGTACTTTGTAAATTCATCCTACATTAGGAGAAAAATATGTTAGAATCAACATAATTTAAGTGGTTAAATAACAATTCAAAGCATAATTCAATTAACTTTTACCACTTAACAATACTTTTTAAGGTGGTATCTAACGCCTCGATAGGGGGTCATTATGTTTTCTTTTAACATAAATCCATCATCCCCCAAGTAGTATTTACTTATTTAAAATCATAGAAGTTATACTGATTAGAATATTTAAACTAGATGACTATACACAAAATCCTCACATTATAAATAATAAACCTTGTGGTATGATAAGGCGATCCTCTCTCGTAAGAACATCCTTTAATATTCTTGAATAAGATGTTGTTCTTTCCCACCCTGCTAGAACATATGTGAATTTCATGTCGAAATCACAAGTTGTAAATATGTTTTGTGTTGGCCAATCTTTTCTTCCACGAAAATGAGTTCCATCTATCGCCCCTAAACAATCTTAATTGGTCAAAAAAATTTATTGTCATTAAAGTTTAGACAATCTATGCGTATGTTATATAGACACAAAGTTGGTGAGTAGATTACCTTAAAGTATGGGTAAAATTGGTTGTTGTTTAATATATACGGACACACATCCCTTCCTGATGTTTGAACAATTAATTGTTCCTCCAACATTATTATCGCATTCAACACAATATGAAAGTGTGGACTAACGGTTTCACCCAATCGATGGAAGAAAAATGAAACAGTTCGATTTTTAACGTTATGTCCGATAATATGGAGAAATTTAGCCACTTGTTCTTCGATTATTGTTTGTAACCCATTGTTTACCAATCCAGTTGCCCTTACTCGTTGACACAAGTTAAAGAATATCTCCGGTTCCATGCGAATAATGTCATGAGATTGTTCAGTATGAATAAGGTATGACATCAACTCGTGCCGACGATGTTCTTTTTCAGAAATAAAGTACCTAATGTTACTACTACTACAAGTTACCGTAGATAACATGTTTAACCCAGAGACTATCAGACAAAGAATTGTTATCGCTCTTACTTTGTTTCGCTTTTTTATCTCACTTTGTATATGTGAAATTATGTTTATATCCAAACCACCATCTAAAAATTTATTTTCAAATACCAAATTTAATAACTTAATTATATTTAACTAAGAAGTAAACCCTAAACCCAAATTATAACTCTCATTAACTAATAAAAAAATATTTTTCATTGATAATGATACTTCCAATGTACATAATCAAATCACACACCATTAAATATGTCGAAGGTCGAACACCCTCGAACTCAGCCAAACCGCACAATGCAACATATATATACAATAAATAATTTCGCACACCACTAATAAATTGTCGGAGTTCACACTCTCACGGTCTTCTCATTTGGCAACTATCGTAATGTTATAGAACAACCAATTGATACTACTATTACAATTTATTTTTATATTTAAGTTTATCTCTCATAAACTTATACTACACAATTTAAATATCATTAATATATAGTTCAAAGTCTTTAAAACATTTCTTTTCCATAACTAATAGACAAGTAATTCATAAGATTACTTATTATCATATGTAAAAATATGATTTTTTATCTTACAATTAGGTTTTCTCTTCTTATTATTTAAAATTGACATTTTTAAATATTTAATTGAGTTAATTATGTCATATAAAATTATTTTCTAACATTAAACTTACATATTTACTTGACAATTATTACAATTATAATAATAATTTTTTTGATTTATTTATCATATCTTAATTATATTTCACATTATACAATTATATATATATATATATAATTAATGTTTAATGGAAGTAATTCAAAATATATAATTTAAATAGTTAGAAAATTAATTATATTCAGTTAATGTATCCAAGACTAAAATCATATAAGTTTAATGCTTCATAAAAAATTTATTTACAAAAAACTACTAATAATTTTTTTTTCACTAATATTTTTACTTCTTTTTTAACAATATCTCCTTTCTATACATTTTTTCTTTTCTCAATTTTACATTGTTATCAAAATAATAAATTTATTTTTTAAATATAACTTTTTTTAACTTTTTTTTCCTTAATTAATTATAGTGTCTCGCCATAATTTTTACTAAATTTGTTTCATGTATGATCTCTCAATTATTTTTTTCTTTTCAAGTATCTATACAAAATTTCCATACAATAATTATAATTACAAAAATAGGGTTTTTGGTTCCATTTTTTCGTTCCAATTTTTGCTTCCATCATTCCCAAAATTTGCTTCCAATATGCATGCATGCAGTAGCTACCAAAACCATGCATGGAGTACTACACCATTTGAGCCAGTTTCAAGTTGCAACCATGAAAGACAACATATGAACCAACCTGTGGAGATGATATGAATGAAGCTCTTCGTGGGACAAGCTGACGGCGAACTTGGCGGCGCCCCTAAGATTGTTGGAGTCGAGGAGGTTTGACCTCCTCTCATGCATGCACACGATTGGACCAGCTACAGTCACGAGGCCCACCATAGCGGCCAGAGAGGCGCCCACCGGAGGAGAGTCTGGCGCCAGAACAACGAGACATAAGCTGCCGGAGGAAGAAGATATAGAGAAAGCAATCTGTATATTATTATTGACGTAATTGTATTCAGTACATACTATGGCCTTTTTATATACATTTGTATTAATAATACACTTTTAAATTGATAAAAACTGAAGCCTATATAAAAGGAAAATATACCAACAGATATCATAACAACTTCAACAAGGATAACGGCACATGGATAACAAATATGATAACAACTTCAACAAAGATAACGACACATGGATAGAAATGTTGAACGACACTTGACTTGGTCTTCTAGAGGGTTAACATGTGAGTACTCCTACATGCTCCCGTAAGATGGTGGAGGCAGAGACAACACCAATCTTGGTAATAAGATAACCGAAACGTGTAATGGAGAGAGGTTTTGTGAGCAAGTATGCAAGTTGATAGCTTGAAGGTATGTGCAGTACTTTGAGTTTCTTGGCAGCAACTAGTTCGCGAATGAAGTGATAAGAGATGGCTAAATGTTTTATGCGTGAGTGGAACACTGGATTAACACAGAGATAGGTGGCACCTATATTATCAGAATAAATAGTAGGCTGCTGAGTAAGAGGAAAATGAAGTTCTGCTAACAATTGTTGTAACCAAAGTAATTCATCAATTATGGTGCTAATTGTGTGATATTTAGCCTCAGTGGATGATTTAGCAACCGAATTTGGTTTCTTGCATGACCAAGAGATGTCATTGGGTCCAAAATAGATAAGATACGTTGCTGTGGAACAACAATCAGTAGTGCCACCTGCCCAATCAGCATCACAAAATGCTGTTAACCGAGGATTAGAGTCATATTGATAAACATAGAATATACGATTACAAATACCGTATCATGTCATGATTCTACATGATTAATTTTTTCCATATTTAGCTTGGCATGACAGCGATGCACAGTGATGCACATTAATGTCATATCTGTTAATAGACAAATTTAGGATACCGACTATAATGGTTAGCGTAATTATAGCCTAGAATGTTTCTGTATTTCATGTATATATTGTCCTATCATATTCAATACAAGACAGGGGTTTTTGGAAATATTTTTATCATGGTATCAGAGCGAACCAAACTCTGATATCCAACAGCCCGAGAACACAGTCGTACTTCTAAAATGGCAGAGAGAGGAGAGGCGGTGAAGAAAACACCATCGCCATACGATCCGAGTGCCGATGATAATCCCGGAAATGTGATTACACAGTACAATTACGAGGAGAGAATTACAAGGAATGGGCAAGGGCCGTGAAGATATCTCTCGCGGCTCGAAGGAAATGGGGTTTCATAGATGGAACTCATAAGGAACCCGAAGAAGACACATCCGAGATAGAATATTGGTGGACAATTCAATCGATGCTTGTATCTTGGATACTAAACACTATAGAACCTAGTTTGCGTTCCACCGTTGCATACATGGAAAACGCAAAGGACCTATGGGATGACATCAAGGAACGATTCTCGATCGTGAACGGACCAAGAATCCAGCGAGCTAAAGTCGAGTTGGCGTAATGCAAACAACAAGGAATGACTATGGTTTCCTATTATGGGAAGTTGAAAACGTTGTGGGATGAACTGGCAAATTACGAGCAAATCCCACAGTGTAGATGTGGGGGATGCAAGTGTAATATTATGACGCAACTTGAGAAACGAAGAGAAGAAGAAAAAATTCATCAGTTCTTGATGGGGCTAGATGATGAGGGCTATGGAACTGCACGGTCAAATGTTTTGGCAACAGATCCATTACCCTCGTTGAATCGGGTGTATGGCACCATGGTGCAAGAAGAAAGGGTGAGAACAATCACCAGGTCTAAAGAAGAGCGAGGAATGATCGTGGGAATGGCTATGCGAGCGGAAACCAGGAACAAGTTGCGCAATGAAGCGAAAGAAAAATCAGCTTGTTTGCATGCAGTGTGGAAGGAAGGGACATGACAAAGGCAATTGCTTCAAGATCATTGGTTACCCGAATGGTGGGGAGAGAGACCACGAACCGATAGAAACGATGAAAAAAATCAACAAAGAACAGGAACCTTCCGAGGAAAAGGAGGAACGGCTCGCGTCAATATGGCGCACACCGGTGCGGATAACGTTGGTTCAACCGAAAAACCGAAGTCGCAGGATCGAGTAATGAGCAATGGCGAGATCTTGACAAGCAATGTTGAATTCTCGCAAGGCAAATGAAACCGAAAAGATGACTGGTAAGAAAGCATGTGACTTGTGGATTATTGATAGTGGCGCCTCTAATCATATGACAGGAACACTAGAAAACTTGAGGGAGAGTCGAGCCTTGGAAGGGTGCCCAGTGGGACTACCAAATGGTGAATTGGTGCTGGCAAACAAAGAAGGATCGATTTTCCTTGATGGAGGACTGAAACTTAAACATGTTCTATATGTTCCGAAATTGAATTGCAATTTGATTTCAAGTATCACAATTGATCGAATGAAGTAAAATGTACAAGTACATTTTACTCGATAGATTTTGTGCAATGCAGGACCACACTTCGAGGATGCCGATTGGAGCGGGTGAACGAAAAGAGGGACTCTATTGGTATCGTGGTGTGAGTGGCATAAAGGCGTATCGGACCAATGCGGAAAATCAACTAGAGATTTGGCACAAGCGAATGAGACATCCCGCCTACCGATTGTTAGAAAAATTCCGCATCCGAACAAGCGTGAATAGAAATACGGATACAACTCGTGTGTGTGAAGTGTGTGAGAGATCAAAGCAATGCAGAAACACATTTCCTTTAAGTGATTTTCAAGCATCCAATATATTTGATTTAATACATTGTGATTTATGGGGTCCATATAGAACTCCCTCGTCTTGTGGTGCATCTTACTTTCTCACTTTGGTTGATGACTGTTCTCGAGCCGTGTGGATATATCTCTTGAATAATAAGAAAGATGTGTCACAAACCTTAATGCATTTCATCGCCTTAATAGAACGACAATACGAGAAACAAGTCAAAATATTACGAAGTGACAATGGAACCGAGTTTATGTGTCTTCAACGATATTTTCAAGCAACATAGGATACTCCATCAAACCTCATGCACTCGGAACACCTCAGCAAAATGGGAGAGCCGAACGAAAACATCGACACATCCTAAATGTAGCTCGTGCTCTACGATTTCGGGGAGAACTTCCACTTCAATTCGGGGAGAATGCATTTTGACCGCAGGATACTTGATCAATCGTACACCCTCAACCGTTCTCCATGGAAAAACTCCATATGAAATATTGAATGGGAAGCCACCCACTTATGACCATCTACTGGTATTTGGATGCTTGTGTTATGCACATAACCAAGATAGGAAAGGTGACAAATTTGCAAGTAGAAGTCGCAAGAATGTATTTGTTGGATATTCAATCGAAAAAAGGGCTGGAAATTGTTTGATCCGGAAAGAGAAGTCTTCTGACTTCGAGAGATGTTAAGTTTGTAGAACATGAATTCCCGTTTGCCTCTCTTGCCCACAGTAGACATTCGGAGGTAGGATTGCCTACTCGTTGATGTTGGCATTGTCGAGGAAGCATTGCCTGGACTTGGTACAATGAACAATGCGGAACACGTTGTGGAGACCGATGACGTTAACCCCACAATGTAAGATGTGCCCACAACCGAGTTCGTGGAGGGCCACGCCGAATGCCATGAACAAGAGCCTCCCACCCGGATCGTTCTCCCACCGGAACAAACCGACTCTATGATGACAGAACTAGAGGTTCCCGAGGAGCATACTGTCCCCGCATCCCTGGGGAAAGGTCTTCGTGTACGAAAGCCATCTCGTGAAGCTTCGTGATTATGTCACTAACACCACTTTACAACTCGGTCCCTCAATTCGCACTCCACATTCAGCTTCCTCGGGTATGCCTTACAGCTTTGACAAAGTACTTAAATTGTGCTAAATTCTCCTTCCCCCATCGAACCTTTCTTGCAGCCCTTCATGCGGAGAGAGAACCTGTGCATTTCTTTGAAGTCGTTCGGGATGTTAGATGGAGAGATGCCATGGCTAGTGAAATTCGGGCTCTCCAAAGTAATGAAACATGGGACATTACTCCTCTACCTGCAGGGAAGAAGCCTCTGGGTTGCAAGTGGATTTATAAAATAAAATATCATTCTGATGGGAGCGTTGAACGCTTCAAAGCCCGATTAGTTGTCTTGGGAAATCACCAAGTTGAGGGGATTGACTATGACGAGACCTTTGCCCCAGTGGCAAAGATGGTCACCATTCGGACAGAGTGTTGGCAGTGGCGGTAGCCAAAGACCGGGAACTCCATCAAATGGATGTCCATAATGCTTTTCCGCACGGCGATCTTGAGGAAGATGTGTACATGAAAATGCCGCCAGGGTTCTTGGTGTCTCAAAGGGTATGGTGTGTCGTCTCCGCAAGTCCCTTTATGGTCTTCGTCAAGCTCCTCGGTGTTGGTTTGCCAAGCTCTCAACCGCTCTTGTTCAATATGGGTTTCAACGTTCTTCGTCCGATCACTCCTTGTTCATCTTTCGCAAAGGAGATGTCGAACTGGTTGTGTTAGTTTACGTGGATGACCTAGTCATTGCTGGCAATCATCATGAAGACATTGCGCAATTCAAAGATTATCTTCATCAATGTTTTCGTATGAAGGACTTAGGGAAATTAAAATACTTTCTTGGGGTGGAGGTTGCCGGATCTCCTACAGGAATTTTCTTGTGTCAACGGAAGTATGCGTTGGACATCATAGCCGAAGCAGGATTGCTTGGAGGGAAACTCGTGTCCACGCCAATCGAAGAAAATCATCGTTTAGCATTGGCCGATGGCGAACTACTTTCCGACTCGAGTCAATATCGACGTCTCGTCGGCCGCCTTATTTACTTGTGTTTTACACGACCCGAATTATCTTACAGTGTTCATGTCCTATCTCAATTCATGCACCAACCGCGTCAGGAGCATTGGCGGGCTGCACTCCGCGTGGTACGCTATTTAAAGGGCAGCCCGGGTCAGGGTGTGCTTTTAAAAAGAGAGAGTGACCTTCGTCTTTATGGTTGGTGTGACTCGGACTGGGCAAGTTGTCCTCTCACTCGAAGATCTCTCACCGGTTGGTTTATTTTCCTTGGTCAATCCCCCGTTTCTCGGAAAACCAAGAAGCAACATACGGTTTCTCGATCATCCGCCGAGGCAGTAATATCGT